GTATAAAGTAGTAGTAGGCCACGAACGGCAAAATTTTCAAGAAATTAATGATTCTTATGGACCGTTTCAGTCTTGCTCAGGATAATTAATAATGAAAGGTCGCCCGAGGTTGAATCAAGCAGATATGCTACGCCTGGAAATTCTTCACCAGTGAGAAGACAGCGTCACTTTGGAATGTCGCAAAGATGAGCTTCAATCTAAATGTCATCTTTTTTTGTCTCTTCTACCCTCAGGACAAGCGCTACCCGACACGCAGATGCAACGGCTAACTTATCGTGCTGTTATATTTTCATGAGCAAAATGGAAACTCAAGTGTTCGGATAAAATTTATACCGTGCTGCGGCTTGGGCTGCTTTCCGGGTGGAGTTATGCTATAATAAGCTTTACGGCAGAAGAGCACAGTACGCCTAACGAGTCTATCGCGACCATGAAACCAGAAACCCTCGGTGCATATACTATGCAATGGTATGTACATATATTTACTATCTTATATATACAAATATATATAACGATGAGAAACTGCCGGTAGACAGTAGCCTATTCGGGAGTTAAACTTTGCGTGCAGTACATCTGGCTCCGGAACCTTTCATCTATTTTAGGGAAGAGGACTTCTGGTGGCACTAGTAACATATCCCATGCACTCAATGAAGATATGGACCAATGATATATAAGGACGATATAAAGTCAAGTCAATGAGTAATCATTGATTGGTTGGAACTAAAAATTCTTTGAATTAGTTAAAATGCTTATACAAGCATGTACAATTTGAGTGTGGTACATATGTAGAATGTGGCTTGTTATTTCTGGTCGTTAGACATTCCTGTCGTTTATTCTTGAGGAGAAAATTAATTGAATTGGCATTAGCATGAGATCAATCTTTGGGGGAGCAGGCTGCAAGGGAGCAGCGACGGATTCATCTCCGCGAGATCACTCGTGGGCTTAACCGATGAAGCGTGCCGAGGGCGCTGCTTACTAATGTTGTTATTGAATTATTTCGAGACTTACTTTTACGCGCGCGGGATCAAATCGGGATTAGGTGCTACAGATGGAGTAGGCGTGGTACGTCTCCTAGCCATAACTAGGATCCCCATCGAATATATATAACCCATCCCTTGGATCATGTGCGAGCACTTCCACTTCTCTTCTCGTAAATCACAATGCGATTAGGATGCAATCTGTCTCCCCTACTCTGATATCCATTCCTGATAGAAAGAGGGTGCTCTGATCCCTGATTAAGAACAGACAAGAAATAGAAAAAAAGAATCACTTGAAAAATCGATTCTCAGGAGCATTGCGTATTTAGCGTGATACAAAATTGTGATTAATGTGAGCTACAGGAGAAATAGGGATAAACACAACCAGGAAGTTGGATGCTGAAATTAATATTGTATTAAATATATTGTGACCTGCAATACATTGATATATTCTGTATGCAATATACGTTTAGTCAAAATGATATTTTGATGAACGTATCATAGTTGGTATTAATATTATTGACTACTGATACTTGAAATAATACTTTCATTAGACTAATTGCACGATAATTGGATAAGTGGGATTTTTTAGTGGATCACGATTTAAAATATAGTTCACCGTGGCTTCAAATCGAAGCTAAAAGTCTTCTTTCGTATGTTATGGACGTTCTCATTTAGCTGATTTACTACGTGCATTTGCTTCTACCACTAGGATTAACAGCATCTAACGTATATATATATATATATATATATATATATATATATATATATATATATATATATATATATATATATATACTTACGTGTATCTACGTGCACCGAATCCTCCTTTCAATAATCTGAAAGCGTAGTCGGTTATTGGTCACGTAGATGGAATGGTAGCAGTGATTTTAAGTATAACGGCAACCTTTAGAAACTTTCGATCAAGTTCCGCATTCGCACTAGTGAATTGAATGTGTTTCGATAACCACGGAACACGTTATTCATTCATAAAGTCTCGAGCGATACGGCTGATAGTTCGATGAATAAATTCATTTCGTTTGACAATTAGATGTAGCTACGACACCTGCAATTCCCATGACAATTAACTCAATGAGCAAAACGTCCCACGTTACTTTAGCAAAGAAAAGAGTTTACTTCGCTAAAGGATTTAGTCGGGACGATGATTTCACTGCGCTTTATCGAACTTACCAAGCTTTAACTCGGCTAGAGGGGTTCGTCCCCTCTAGTCTAGCTCAGCAAGACCCAATGGAATCGTTATCTAGTTCAAACCCAACGCCATCTGTGCTTAATACGACGTTCCCATCTATTGGACGGTTGATCGCGAAGTGGAAACTACGCGAAAAGACAAAACCGATCACCGTAAAAGCACACGGAATCCCGCTTGGCAAACGTTCCCCGAGTAGAGTAGGAAGTTCGATATCTGACTCTCAAGACATTCACAGCGCGGCACAAGTGTCGAGTCGTTTGAGGGGCTTTGGAATTCCTCGAAAGATTCTTGTGTCAGTGGCGCGAACATTCCAAGGATGCCGACTACATCTTTAGATACTTGTATATTCATACCGTGTATACTTTGTGTGTGTGAAGCATTTTTTTTTCTCTTCACGTACCTTGGTTATACGTGCCAAAGATTTTCGCGCAAATTAAATTATACCAAAGCTCCAGAAAAGGGAGGCTGTCTCGTTCGGTTAGGAAGCTAATGACAAGATATCTTTTGTTCCTACATGTTTCCCAGCGCGTGTCATCGTATTGTCGTGCTGTCTAGTTAGGTTGGGTTACATTCCTGCTTCCCCTAGTTAGATGCGTGGGCGCATACATACGTGTAGATTTGTACGCGTGCACAACGCAGCGCGGTACCAACGTAATTGCGGCTGGAAGTACGGACACTGCGTCAGCAGAACGTAGACGTTATGCTCCCCTGAGGGTGTTATTGCCTTCATTGGTGGTACTCGTGCTGGGAACAAAGCAGATGGAAATCCTTAACAGTTATTGGCTGGTGTCGCGACGCGTTTCCCATGGAAGTTTGCCACAGCAATTTATTGACGCTTACAGTTGGGGTAAGCTTGTCACTCGCGGTGGTCTAATTAAAATCGTTGAATCTCCTGTAGTACATTTTTTTGTTAGAAAAAAAAGTTTTCGTCACACGATTGACACTAGCCGCAACAGTGCGTTGGTAATTCTGTACAAAATTAATTCCACATCGATTAAATGGTACGATTGATTTTCTATTCGTAATTCGATTGATCTGGTCCACCCGATATTATTCACTGATAAAACTTAAAATGCGAAGTATCCCTCGGTACTGCGTCCCCTTTTTCCCATCGACTCCTATTTACTCGTCATACCACGGCTGCCAACCGTCTAACCACCCCTGTACAGGAATCTACCGTGGGTTTGTTCTTTACTGATGAAACGTTCTCGAACCCTTCCGGACTTCCGTAATACCGAGCTAGAGATGTAGAAACAAAGGGAAAGGGTTGAGAAAATAGGAGTGGGCGTTGCAGGGGTTGAACGAGCGATTTCGTTCTGGAAGGATACTGCTTGGTTTTCTATCTATAGCTACGTGTTTTCTCAGGGATGCAAACAATTACAAGAGCGTCGATTGTTTCGTGAGCCCTCCAGACATCCAGACAGGTCACCGGGGCTTAGCGTTCGGCAAGTTCATCCGTAGACGACGGCAAAGCAAGGGGGAGAAAATCGTAAGGACGTAAGTAACAACGCGGCAGCTCTGTCGCTTTCCTGGATATTAAATATTAATCCCGTGAAATTACTAGCACGCCGGCAATCTTTCGCTACGTCCGGACTCTTTCCTCCCCTTAACCATCCATTCCTCGTTCACCAACCGCCGCCGTCTCTTTTCTCGTCCGGTACGCGCAATCTCTAACTCGGTGCCGTCCTACTCTAGGCAACGAGGAGTAATCTAGGCGCTGGATTAACCCAGGGCTCAAGATATCAGTCGGGATTTATTGTGCCTGTTCTGTCGGAGCACCAGTAAGGAAGGTACAGTATAAAGACGCAGTAGCCTGCACCAGAGAAGGGTGACGCGGAAGGGTCTCTACCAGAGCAAGGGATGTCACGGTGTACCTATGTGTCACATTGGCCATCTAGAAACGTGAGCTCGAGTATAGCATGGAGTAATTAGACTCGAATCATATGGATAAGTATCAAGTACCATTATTCTATACAGTTCCTGGTATTAACTTGTTATTTACTATGAAAATTTAGTTCAGACACGAACCTCGTTTCTTATAGGAAAATTATTATGCTGTAAGGAGTAGAATTTATTAAATGCAATATAATCTCATTGTCCTAGAATACCAGGCACCATGTGACTAGACTGGTTCCAATGTCCATCAAATATATTTTGGATCTGTAGTATTTACTCTCCGAGTGACATTAACGACCATGCTTTATGGTTGCGCGTGTGAAATTTCCCTGGTGTCTGTAATGTTATTGCAGCGGCCATGAAAACAGGGGACGATGTGGCTCGAGGTCAGAGTACAATAATCGTACTAGGTAGATATAGGCAGGCGCATCTGGCTGTACTAACGTATGTACATATAAGTGCGTACGTACATACGCACGTGTGTAAATAAATATATGCACGTTTCGGGATCAGACCCGATTATCCCATCTCGTAGGATGTCCTGTGCAGCATCATTTTATTGTGTGAATATGTATATCGCGTAATGTACAGCAGAAGTGATTATATGAAGTCTTTTGGGATAGAATTGATCGTCTAGGACAAGGGTGTAAATTTAATGCTCTATAATACTAAATTTGGTAACCCTTTTGGAAAATCCATTTAACTCTCGTGGAAGCGACCCTAGATTTTAGGGTGATTCTACTCTCTACAGCTTTTGTGTTAATGTCGAGGGTGCATCCTCGTAATTATACGTTTTACACTCGGCGGACAAGCTCCTCTTTTTTCTGCACGCTGGATTTCACTGATTGGCCACTAGACTTGATTGAGCGCTCATGCAAAATAATTTGTATCTACTGTGGGACATTTCTTGTGTAAGTGTATTAAATTGTATAAATAAATTTTATTTTCGATATGTTATAATTATTCTAGGGTAATTGTATAATATCGTATACTTATGTGTTTTAGGTATTATAGAGAAAAATTACAATGTATAAAGTTATCGAACTACTGATTGATTAAGTTTGTGTTAAACATTGCGAAATTTGCATTGGAATATTTATACGAATTTAATTTAAGTGGTTTTCAATCGATTTGACCGTTAAATGAAATCATCTTATTTCTTATATTTGTCGAATTCATTTTTTTGCGAAAACATTGTTCAATTCTGCGAATTATATTGATCAAACTTATTTGGCCATTCCGTAGAAAACGAATGGTTTGTTGGATCAGTAGTATCTCTCTGTTTTTCTAATTTTTTTGAGAGAGTCGATGGTGCTCTCTTAATGCACATTATAACAATGAAAACAAAAAGACTGATAACCATGAGAAAAGCTAGAGCGATTATGAGCATTGTCACGTTTTTATACACTAGCGTATATTCGTAACGAACGTTGATGTGTGTCCAGACTTCTTTTGGATTCACTTCAGTGAGACTAGCTACGCATGTCCATTGACCAATATCCTCTTCGAACGTAGCTTTTAAAATTGAGAAAATTTTCATTAAAATTCGAGACCGATTATTCAGATATTAAAAAATATTTCTTTTTATTATTAACAAAGAAAATTATTAATTTCATACCTTTCGTATATATGCTGCAACTTGTAGCTGTTTGTTCCACGTAATAACGTGGCTCAATGTTATTGAATATTCCGTAGCCATCAGGACGAATCCATCGACAGAAATCAATACTGCTCTCGTGACCCGGAAGTGTGCGACATGTTAACCATATTCCGGTATGATCAACTTTTGTTTTTGACCAATCCGCAATGATCAAACTTTCTGTATAAATGAAAATCAATTGCATAGATTAATATTGTATTTGCATATTCATTAAGACTGGCTCCATTTAATAGAATATAATCTGACATAATAAATTATACAATGTATCATTATTTACAATAATATTCTCCGTGATACGTACTTGTAACCGTAACTGTAACCTTTGCGTGCAGTTCTGCTTCACTGACAAGTCCCATGCGGCAGCTCCATTCCCCGGAATGTGAATCTTCAGCAACTTCAATAACTGCACCGCATTCTCCAAGAGCGAGACCTGAACCCGTATAACGAAGAAACGAGGGGCCACTTCCGCTTTCAGATATGGCATAAGCTGTTCCGTTGGGACTGCGAAGCCAGCAATAACTCAGCACAGAGTCGACGCTGCATTTAATCTGGAATAGTGGATCAAAAAAGTCATACGTAGTAAGACAGGAAATTTTGCTTTATAATGTTTGAATACTGACTATCATTAGGACTGGAAAGGAATGAAGCTTTATTTAATATTTTTAAAACTTACGACAAAAGAATCTCCACGTTTAACGTATACTTCACTTTTCGCTGGTTGTACTTTGATTGTATTCTTATTCATTCCGTCATGTACCCGAATAATAGAACCTACAATATTGCCATTACCATTTTCAGCCGTACATGTCCACGCACCATAATCTTCGTAGTTCGGTTGGGTTATACTTAATCCACAATCGTGAATATTTTCCACAAACATACGTGACGATTGAAATCCTTCTCCATAATACATATATCTGCCACGTAAAAGTCAACGTAATGTATACAAATTGATATACTACTCAGTTTGACATATGAAATTTTTTATTAGTGCGCTGCTTTTTAATGACCAATTATAATATATGTATATTAATTATTGATTCGTACCTGTCATTTCCGACACCAGGTGACATATGGAACGATGTGCCATCCGGTCGTGTAAATCGGCAAAATCGGACAGAATTAGAACGAATTTTACATAATAAATTAATTTCACCATTGTCCCCTGTTGTGACGCTGACATTTAGGGCGCGATCCTCTGTAGTGATAACGTGAAATTAGATGAATGCCGACCTTTCGATAATAAGATTAGTTATTGATTTTACGGGGCAAAGAAAATACGATCGACTTACCGTACGTGATAACATTTACTTTAGATTCAGTAAGATTTACTTTTCCTTGAACAGCATATCGACAGATCCAAATGCCCATGTGATTGTATCGAACGATTGGTATATCGTAACGACAAGGACTGGATTTAATAGGTAATAATTGACCGTTTGGTTTTTCAAATTGAGAAAAAGTAGCATCACTCGGTCCCACTGTTATCGTACTAGCAATACCATTTTGAAGATATAGTGTAATGTTCTAGGAAAATTTGATTATTATTAACACTTTGAGAAAGTGTTGAACCTGAGGAATTTATGATTTTATGAAATTCATTGAAATAGATACTTAGGTACTACATGTTCATAAGTTGTCTACCTGTCATGAAAAATTCTGATAACGTTACAAAAAATAAATAACGAATTCCATCTTTAATTATACAGAAAAGAAAAATAATTTTACTTTGATAATTTGAAGTTATAAAACTTTACAGAAAAAAATATATTTTTACAAGTTTATCTTTTTTCATAATGTTGCAATATATTTTTCATTTTGAAAAGATAAACTTAAATATTTCTTTTGTCAAACTTTCTTTTATATCTTTATCGATAAACGGTAACAAGCAGAGAAATAATAAAATTACTTCATTTTTTTTATTCAACGTGTGTATGTCTCTTGTCTATTTATCACCACTTCATAGATTTTATTTTTTGTGATGTTCACTATTTCAATTTACTGATTATGATAATCTGACAAGGAATATCTATGCATCACTTTATACTGATGTTCCAGATGTGACAATCTTATATGCACGTGCCAAGTTTTTTATTTCACTTCAATTCAATCCGATAATTTGAACCTAGTATAAATATATGGCAAAGTGAAATTTACCTTCTCGACAGAGATGAGATTTTCTTTCTGTACTAATACGTCAAATCTGCCAACGTAGGAAATAAAGTTTCCGAGCCATGCGACGATCTTCCATTCACCATTGTGATTATCGTTTATCGTCAATCGAACTCCGCATTGACCGTAAAGTTTGGGGTTCTCCCTTTCGTCGCGAAGAATGTCAATTTCTTCGCCCTGCAAGTTAACGGAGACCCATGGAATTTACTGCCAGCCTTGATAATTTACCGTGAAACTTTCTTCCTTCGCAGTAACAGTTCCTATAAGTATCTACCGTCGGGTCCGTTACGATGCAGGATGTGAGATTCACGAATCCCTCGGAGACCCGAGCGCTCACCGAGTATCCTGGAAAGACGCGAATCATCTTCGAAGGGATGATATTTGTTTCCTGAAAAGTAAAAGAGAAGAAAGAGAGAAAAGAAAGATAAATGTCCTTCACATTTTACTTTTAAACATTTTAACCCCTTATAAGAGCCAGGGTCACTGGGATTGATAAAATTTATAAACTTATAATATAAAAAATTCAATTTTGAAAGAATCTAAGAGATATCAAAATATCTTTATGCCATATCCCGATAATATTAATTTGTTGTAGAACATAATTCGAATGATATACTCCTGTCAAAGTGTGCATGTATTACCGGTTTACATGGTAATTTTGTTATAAGCATATTCCATTGTAATCTTTTTCTATTCAGATTCCAACGTAAATTTCGATTTTTCACGTGTAATGATCATACAGTTTCATAATATTAATATTATAATTACATCAATCGATTTTGCTGTGTATAAAGTCTAGTATCGGACTTCGCTCTACTTTGAGAGGCCATCTTTTTATAGATATCAAGATAAAACAGTCTCTCTAATGTAGAACTGACGTTATCATTGATTTTGGTCGACTATATATTATCATCAATAACAAAAGAGGTCTGAAATACTATATTATACTGTACAATAAGTTCTCCTCATATTGTTAAAAAACAATGTCGTTACTCGATCAATAAACTAATCAAATGACGAATTAAAAAAAATCTAATTGTATAATATAATAAGCAATTAAATTAATGCGTAAATTATTATTATAGAAACTTAATAAAAAGTTGATTTACCTGCTCCACGTGCAGACCATACTTTAGTATAGTATAATCACCGGATGAAATATCTGTTGTGTTGTCAGGATATACTTTAATAATCCACCAACCAGCATCTTCAACAGTAACATACCTAATACTTGTAGTACAAGTTCGTTTAAAACGGTTTCCATTATAGTATAGATTCTCCGGTATATTCTTTGCCGGATATACAGTAAATTCTTCACCACGATTGTTCAAAACTTCACAGCGTTGAACATTGACGATAGATTCAGCATTGAAGGTCGCTTCCTGACCGCAGGAGATGTTCAAGTTCCTAACGATCGGTACTTCCGCTGTGAAGAGTGCAAGAAAATAAGTAAAAGAGAATAATAAATAAAAAGAGACTCGTTGGCAGACGCGCCATAAAATATACAGCATAGGAAAATCGAAGGCTATAGCCAGGATAAAGCATTTTGTGCTTCGATGAACGAAGATTCCTGCTTCTTTTTTACGAGTGACTCGCAGCTTTTCTATTGGGTCTTGCGATAAAGAAAGGGAAGACAACGCGCTATAAATTCAACATAACGGAAAATGCGAGAGTGAAAGTGGAACTAAGGGCAGCGGGCGTGTATCACGGACAGATAGTTGAAGTGGAGTAGGTACGGTTTTCGTTTCTACAGAGAAAGGGTGGAACCGGGAAAGAACCATAAATCTAGCGATTTACCAAGAGAGCCGTGCGCGACTCGCAGAACCAGAAGAATCGCGAATATAGTATAACGCTCCATTCCGCCTTCGGCACTGCGCAGACTTTGAGGTAGAAATTGGGAAAACTGCTTCTTTTATATCGGGATGACACATCGGTTAGAGATAACTTGTCAACGGTAAGTATCTCTTGCGTTATCAGTCAGTCATGTATGTGGTAAAGCAACATTCATAATACAGTCATATCTTATATCAATATATTGAATATATATTGAATATATTATATTTATATATAGTATATATAAAATTGTAATTTCTTTTAATTAACTAAGACTAAATCGAGATCAATTAAAATACAACCTATCATGCCCGTCTTTTCTCGGCTGTGTATATCGCATTAACCCAGCAACGATTTACCGCTCGATACGTTGCAACACTGGTTCTTATCGCGGCAATGTTTATCCCATGGTTAATTACCTTGTATTTGTTTTAAGCGGGGGTCTTGCAACTGACCATTTCTTATCGGAACAGTCGCTCAACAGTGCAGACAATACTTATCTGACTTGGCAGATGCACTGAGTCATTCAGGATTTGAAATTGTTAGAGGAGCAGCACGTGCGTGCCATGTTCGTTCGTTTATTCGAGGGATGAAAATCCATAAAGGGGGACGCATAAGTGCGCACAAGTTCAAGAACAACGAAAAATCAGTCCCACGTGGACGAACTGTTGCGTGGGGTGATTCCCTAAGTGGGGCTAACGGGATTAACATGTACGAGGATGGAGGAAAAAAAAGAGAAAAATATATACGTAGAGAGACATTACGGTCGCGGTATCGTGGTCGCGCAAAATGATATATTTCTGTGAAGTCGGAAAAGTCCATTTCGTGGTCCCTTGTGTCATCAGCCAATCCTATTTGAGATTAGACGGAGGCGTGAATTGTGTTACCTTGGGGTTTGAGCGGATCAAAGGCAAATTCCCGGTTGGGATGCATACGGGCGTAATTGATATGCCTGATGGGGGTTTCCAAGTCGGATAGTCAATTACCATAATCTTGTTGCGGGAGGCCAGTCTACATCCGCGCCGATTCCGTATACCGTTGGTATACACCGGGGATATCAATTCGATTTTGCGAAATGGAAGAAAGCCAACCCTCCATGAATTATTAGATTACAATCAATACATGAACGACCAAGAGGCCCCCTTTTCAATTAACGGACTCCTATATTTCATTAAAATCGTACGCGATGATTGTGTATACGAAAAGTCTAAACAAAGCTAATTGTGTAATTTCAATGCTACACTGTATATTTTACGTATTAGTTTACACCGGTAAATTGTAAGTGCATGCTAAAGTTAGCGTAAGTTAACGTACGTTAAATACGAGTAGATTTGCTACTCCTAATGATGCTATGGTTACTGATTTCTTATTAGGGATATAATATTAAATACATCACATACATCAAGGGAATAATGTAACATTTGAGAAACGCACTGACCAATTTTATTTTCAGCTCTTGTATCGACACCCGTTACACTACTGGACCCAGATAATTAATAAAATGCTCCGTTCTTAAGATCCATCTCCGTAGTATTCCTCTTTCCTTCAATTTGAGGGGAATGTACTCCCCCACTCTTGCCAACAGGCAAATGGAAGCGTGGGGAAACATGAAGTCATACGTACGTGTGCGCATGCGCCTCCGAGCCCCGAATCGGGAATCTTAGAGAGGGAGGACTGTAAAGTGAAATTTTGAATATTCGTGAATTTTATTTGTACTATTAATAAAACGTAAAATAACCCTTGCTGAATCATTAATATTACGTCTGTCATGTATGACTATATTCTAAGTTTGAAATGATGGATTATCGTTTCAATACCTGTCTACGTGTTTGCCTTAATTGAGCTAAAGCTATACTGTATTACAAAAATATGTATACCTCTATCGATCCGAATATTTTGCCTACTACGAATATACGTGCAATACGCGTGGCTCTGTAAATTTGCTCCTCTGACGCAAGTAGATTATTTATAAATGTTTTCACATTCAAATAGTGCCGTATGCGGTTTACTTTACATTCTTCCTTCCACGCGCAGCTCGATTAACTGCGTTAAATATGACCGGCTATTTATCTGAGGGATATAATAGAGACGTTACTTTCACGCCATATGTCGCCTGTATACAATGAGCTTACGCGCAGTTAAATGACTATGCTCTGCAATATGTCTAAAATACAACAAATAGCTAGGAAAATCATTTGTGGAAATTCAGTTTGTACCTACAATGGTACAATACACTTTTGTATCAAGAGGGGTGATCCAAGCTGTTGCGGTCATTGTCACAATAGTCCGCATTTCAATCTCCATTTATACCAGTCAGTTACTGTCATTAAAAAAAATATATTTCACAGTAAAGGGTAATATCGAGAAATGTTATTGTACAGCGAAGTGACTATCACAGAAATTCGATTTCAGTTATTGTTATGAGTCATATAACTTATTACAATTTTTTTACTGGAAGCTGAAAATAGCTTATATAAAGTGTTTCAGTTTTTTTGACTTTTAGATTTGTTTGTTAAATAAAATCGATATATCAAATAAATTCAATTGATTGTATCACGTGGATTATCATGCAACACGTGGTAATTGTTATATCGCTACTGATCTCCAGAAATAGACACGTATGACCCTAATATTATTATCGCCATCTCTTTACAATGGCACGTTATCCAAATGAGATTTTAACAATGACAATTTTCTATTTCTATCCCGAAATGATGAAACACTGTTACAATCGTGTCAAAGCAATATCATTGAATAAAAAGATACATACGGAACGCTGATAAATGCTCACCATAACGCAAGTGACAATGAGCCATCTAGTATTTCATCTGCACTGCCATTAATATACAATAATAAAAATAATACATTGATTAAATTTCAACTTTCACATTTTTTCACCGCTCCACAATTATCACGATATCAATATGATCGTCGAGGTCACAAACGCTAATTTCTGCAATTACATTGAATTCAAACACTTTTGTGATTAAAAAGATTTGACACCAAATAGTGATTGCCAGTAATTAGATTCAATCAGATCGAATACGTACTCAAATATACAAATAATCACATATGAAAAAATAAACATAATTTAATGTGCGAATAAAAATGTCGATCAGCTTGCGTGTTCATTTTTTTACGACAATAAAAAATACACCTGTGTATAAAAACATATATGCACTTGGCATCACGATAGTCAAAACCAAGTCCCTCGAACCCAGTGAACGTCACGGCATATCACGCACACGGCCAGTCATTTGCACAATAATGGTGTAATTCTAGCGACGCCCTGATAGTGTCAGCATCGCGTTATTCCAGCAACGCAGAAGCGTATCGACGATAAACACGAGTACCGCACCCTCGTGGGACTGCATTAGTGCATGGTCAAAGTTGTAACTGCTATGTCGTGTGCATATATGCACATGAATATATATAGTAGCTATAGTCTGTATCGACTAGGATTCGGAAATGCATCTGTATATCGGTAGGCCGTTGTTGTGATTCTCCCTATGAAGTCATCGCTACTGTCAACGGCACTGAGAAACATTACGAGCTGAATCTGAATAGGAGTTTGCGATTACCCATATATGAACGAGCCGAATGCATTTGCATTTACGGAGTTACGACTTAGGTACTATATTATGTACAATACGGATATAGAGTATAGGTACTGTGAGTGCGTATGCAGTTAAACAGGGAAGTTATGTTTCTGCGTGATCCAATTTAAATATATATGGTATGTATATTATTATAGGATATATTTTTATAATTTCATGTTAATCCTAAAACTTTAGTTCTACATATTTTATGATGACACGAGAAATTTAATTTAATCTATCTATGGATCGAGTATTTGAAGGATCGACCTAGTTTCACCGAGGGAATTTTAGTTAGGGAAATAACTAGTAAACGACGGAAGTGCATATATTATTATGGTATCAAACGTACAATGCACGTTTCTCAGAACTTCATGTCGCTTCAATAATTTAATACTTCATAAGGGTAAAGTTGACTGGCATATTTCAATACACTGTATTTCCACATATAACCCGTCCATATAATTCCTGGATCAATTGCATCACATAATGTCCATTACCTGTCACGGATTCTCCAACTTCCATAATCCAAATGTTAACTTGACAGAAGTGTCACTTCGACCCTTCGTATTTGGCGAATCAACGCGAACGAAGAGACAAGAGCCATCACGAGCCGTAGAGCCGGATAGAGGAAAAAGGGAATATAAAAAAAGAAAATAATAGATAGCGAGAGGTCTCGAGATTATCACACACGATATATAGATACCACCTATGGAGGCTTTACGCGTAACAATGGAAAAACAGCAATGGGTACCGTAAGTGCTTTAGATACCTATATAAATTAATTGTGCTGTCGGGAGGGTGCACGTATAGGTACTACGTGTGGATCTCAAGTGGGCTTGCGAGATTAGAGGGTTGGTTTTTGTTAGATTTGCACGACAATGCCCGGATCAGCCGGGCATGTGTGAACCCACCGCTTGGCGAACCACTCTCTCGTTTTCCAAGGGTTCCCTAATCCTGATGCTCTCCAATTTGATACATTTTCATCCACCATTTTATTGCGTGTAAAGAAATTATATAATGTTCAAGACGTAGATACTGATATTCGAAATTCTTCGGCAATTCTTGATTTGTTCTCAATTTCACACTCATTTGATGAGATTAATTATAAGATATCTATGTACATCTAAACTATAGCTGACATGGGGAATATATATATGTAATGTATGGACAGATGTTCTTTAAAGGATACAGCATACCTAACTGGCTGCAGAAGTCGTCCTCGAAAGATACGGATATACATAAAACAATATACAGTCTTGCTTATCTGTTTGATACAGTTCTAAGAGTTTTGAAATATTCAAACCGCTTCTTTATAGTCTCTATTTGTTTTGTACGCTTTGATATGTTATTCTTCAGATAACACGATACATATGTCTTTCGTTCATTTTATGGCATGTGTGTCGTTCCTTGTTTCCTACATATGACTGCCATCACCTAAAATTATATCAAAGAAAAGCATACGAAACTGCTGACTTATTTACTAGATTAAATAGATGAAAGCTAAGCTTTCACGATTATCTTTTTTTTTTTTTTTAACCGGATCTAATATTAACCTAGTACGTTCTTTAGGGTTTGTGAAGTAACAAAAAAAGAAACTGTTCATAAAATCCGGTCAGTTGAACCGCTAACGAATTCGTCTGGTGTAACGGGAGGAAACCTGGCGTGTTTCAAGACGATGATGCCACCGGACAGACAGGGTCGAATTTAAAAGAATGACTCATGCAGTTATTTCACGAATGGGACAAAAGCCTTTTGAATTCTGTTTCTTCGAGGGATCTCCGAAGGTGTTTCTCGAGTTACGTTTCACTGACGCGCATAATGGAGGATTATATTTCAAAAAAGTGTTTCGCTTGACTCCGTTGTTGATGCAATGGCCGGCGAAAGCCTTCTGGAAGGATCTCGCCGACAGAACAATTTGCAATAACGTTAAACAGCCGTTCCTTTGGTTCGATAAAATTGTCTGAAGGCATCACGAAGAAAAAGGTAACCTACCCACTCCACAAGGCTGAATATTTCCTTCAAGAGGTTTCCGTCTTCGAAACAAAGAAGTCACTGTGTAATATTAACTGAATGCTTTCCTTAACGGTACGGATTACGATCCTACAGGGGCATCGATATCAGCGAGATCACGAATCCAGTATTTCTAGAGCAATTAATAACAATTAGTCACCCGAAACGAGGAGCATTAGACCGGGATCATGAGAAATATCGATCTAAATCACCACATGCCATTCCTAGTTAAACGTTTTGGAATGGCAGGACTCTGGTATTACTTTAATTGTTCCCAGTCGTTGCGTCGATCGTTTCTGCTCCTTAATTACATCCTTCGTCCTGTATATTTCGAGCGATTTTACTTACCTGCTCTCAGACCCTACATGGACCAGTTTAGGCTTGGGTTTCACGCGTCATCCCTTATAGTAAGTCTGTGTTTAGAAAGCAGCGAGAGACGAAGAGAGGGGAATTTTTTATTTCATCTATACGTTCAGATTTATTAGATACACCTTGCTTGTTTACTCGGTCATCATCCATCTGACTGATTGGCACGAGAAATTTGTCACTTTTTGTCGCGCGTGATTTTTTCTCCATTATTTATTTTTCCAATTATTTTTCACTAGCACGGGATGCTCGGCCCACGTGCGGTAAAATTGGATGCGTCGACACGCGATATCGCAGGTTAGTTTTTGTTTCGCGCTTTTCGCGAGTCAACGTAGCGGAAAGGTGTAAAGAGCATTTCATCAAAGGCTGGTTCAGTATTCTGCCTGTTGCGCTCTTCGCCCGTTCCTTGTCAGCATTTTTCCACCCAATTATTCGTAATTATAGCGTACTGCCGTCCCATGACTGTTTTGCTAATTGGCGTTAGATGGAAAATGGGCGTGGGATTCTTGAAGACTCAGCAAAAAAAAAGGTGTTCGAAAGTCTATCATCTCTATGGCTAGAATCATCGTGTCTTAATTCCAGCTGTTTAACGATACTTAACGAGACACACCTTTCACCCTTGTAAAAGACAATTCAATAAGAGCTAAGACCAAAATGTTCTGAACCCTGTAAATTTCTATTTAATAAAAATCAAACAACGTTGTACTTTTATTATGTTTTGCAATACTCCATTATCTATAATACAATACAGTCTATGTAAAATATTGCGTAACCATAATTAAATGGTTTTGCCTACTCAATGGTTGTCATAAAACCAAAATCAGTTACGTGATTACGAAAAAGAATATTAAATGATCTATATGTAATATGACTAGTTAAATCCGGTCACTTTCTATTAGACAATATCTCTTACGTTCCAATACATGAAGTGCTCTACATCTGCATATGAATACTGTATATCTACCTAGGATAGGCGAGACAGTCAAATTCAGTGAACGGTCGCACCAGGGCCACAGCCATATAGTATAACTGTAGTATAACAATAGAGATATGAAAGCATGATGAAATTACAAGCAAGTCTTTTATCATACGTTAGATAAAATTTCATTAAGAAAATTCACTTTTCCATGAGTAGTGATGCTGGTCAAACGTCTTCTATAATTCCACCGGCCATGCTTCACGCTCGTGTTTTCATCAAAATTTCACGTTTGGACATTGGCTATTTCGATAAATTATCTAAATCATGTAGCCGGGGGTTATTCGTAATAGCACGGGAAAGGGATAAATAGTGGAAGCGAAAGTGGTTAAGGCAGCAATTTGTTGGTCCTCCTACCATCTGTCAAAAGCCACGTTGCATTATCGAGGTTCTGCGTATTATAATAAAAGCCCGCCGGTCAAACCTCGATTCAAACCTGTCCGTTTGATTGGGGTTTGACTCTAATTACTCAAAAATTATACGGCACTTTTGCCCTTACGATCATTCGGCAATGGGGATACCCTGTCATGTATATATACTACAGTCATTATGATTTATTACACCATGAAATAGGCATAGGTCCGAAAACCAATCTTTTTCAAAATCATGATCGATCAGTCACATCCAGGATGCTCCTGCCCGAAAGTCACGCAAACTTATTCTTATAAGTTATAGCATTATATATTTTGCGTAGTATTATATATTTTCACCTAAAAAAATGATTTTTAGACTGGACATGCCCATGTATAATCTGTGCCGCACGATTCTGCTATGTAGAATGTATTATATACATGAAGGTAAATCCTACTCGGGTGGCTACCAGTGATTTCACCTAATGGTCAGAAACCCAAATGTACCACACCATTGAAATGAAATTCCCTGAATGCTTATTCTCTTGAAATGCCAATGTATCGCAAATATAGTACTCTGTTATATTGTTGCATATCTCAATTGAGCAGTCGATAGTTGAATTTATTGAACCAATAACTCATAGAGAATTAAAGATACTGAAAACATAACAATGAGAATACCACGGGAATTGTATGACGATGAATTCAAAATG